GTGGAAGTGAGACGTCTTCAGGTCTTGAACAACCGTTGTCTCAGAACCGTAGCTGATGTGGTTTTATGTCGGCGAATCCGTAATTAGGCAGTTAGAATGCTAGTATTCGGTCGTGCTGCGGGACTTCCATCAATGAGTGTGTCCAGCATCGGAAGCTGCGTCGTTAGGCTATGCATTTTGCATGCTGAACCATCATTTGCCGAATAGAGTAGTTTTCCATGCCCAGTTCAGAATGGCGGAATCAGAGAGACGGTCAACATTTGACCTGGCAGAGGGGAATGAAATTGGTGATGGATTGTTAGCTGGATGTTGTCGGTGCGACTGGTCTTGTAGCATATGGGTCACATAGTCCACACTGCATTTGGCTGGAGACGCTGGAAACTATGGCCACTAATGGCCACGTGGATGACGTCAGTTTCCATTCATATTGACTGGATGAGTCTTTAGAGGTTTATGCATCTCTGAATTTTTGTGCCAGACTAGTACTAAGTCGCTTTCCGTCCATTTTTCTTTCCTCCTTAATTAGGCCTTCAAATAAATTATGATTATACCGCAACGAAGTATTAGCGTTGAACTCATCTCATGTTGTCGCTCGTGATGGTGATGACTAGATGGATCCTGTTGACGTTGATGCTGCCAACTTAAATGATGAAACAGGCGTCGCTCAGTTTATCTTTTCTTTATAAATGTACCTATACTCATGCAGTGTGTGCGCCTACGAAAGTATTCTGTTGTAAGTACTGTGACTACGGACTGTTGGACATCAGTCTAAGCTTATTCATACATCAGTGATGGTCCAGAACAGGTGATCACCGCTATATATCACTGGCATATTGCTGTCAGTGGTGATGGTAATCGTGGTCGAGGACAACCGGATTTTTCTACCATCAGGGAAGTCACAACAGTACCGGGTGCTTGGTTTGCAAGATGACTCGATTCTGCATTCATGTTTTAGTGCTGTTTGTTAGAACCGAATGTTCATGTTCACCTTACATGGATACGGAGCTTTGAGGAATACAAAATTTCCCGAGTGCCGTGGTTGCAGATGAGGGCGTGAAATATGGTAATATACCGGGACCATGTGATGTCGGTTGACGTCCCCTTCTTGCCGAAGCTTGTTTAAAGTGGTAACTGCTCGGTTTGTTTTGTGTTGTTGCAATCGTTCGCTGATATCCAGGAACTTATCTGGTCGAAATAAAACAATTTTATTTCGTCCTGTAGGACCGTTTTAACAACCAGTTTGCTGCTCTTAAGAAGCAGAATATACAAACTAGGTCTTTTGTCTTCCTCCCCTTCGAGATGGACCAAGTGGTCAGGGCGCAAATTTACTGACCAGAAGGTCCGTGGTTCGAACCCGACCTCTGCCTCTCCACTTCCTCTGTCTAGGCTTGAGCAAGCTGGCAGTATCCCAGCCCTCGTGCCTCCTCCGTGTGGCATGGCAGCTAGGTACAGAAAGGGTGCTCCAGCTGTACGAATTTATTATTGTCTCATCCGAGTTAGGCAGAGTCGGAGAGAAATTCTGCATCACTTTGAAAGAACTTCTATCCCGTGCCATTGATTCAGCACGTTTTCTCCAGTTATTGAGAAGTGCGATGCATTGGCCATTAAACTGGCATAATCGACTAGCTCCCGTGGGAGCATAACGGTTGCTGGCATATGCCGATCAGTTTTAGGCGAGCCACTGACGCATTATTAATGCATGCAGGAACATCATATGCTCATAAAGCTCTCCGTTGGACCTAACGTTGAGTCGGAACAACCAACGAAAAGCTGCTAGCTTTGTTTGAAAGCTTAAAAAACAAATTCTCGGTATTTTTGTAAGGGGACGTTCAATAGACCTGCCATAAAGCGCGGTTATCGGTCCGAAAAGAGATAAGTTCGTGCTGGCTCATTTGAGATTCGATTTAGCGCTGCATCCAAGTCTTCGGAATGAGCATGTAGTAAAACGACCTCATGTCTGTATTTTACATGCCCAATTCACTTTTGTGGCACAAGCTCTTGCTTTGGCTGTTTCTCAAGGTGTGGTCTGGTAGCTCAGTTGAGAAGGGCTGTAGATCCGAAGTATCTCTGGCATACCCCGCTACGTAAATCCAGGTTCGAAGGCTCATCGCACACCTGAACTGGAGCATTGGTTTTTGTTTACCAGCTGGATTACCGACTATGTCTGAATATTGATAGCTAGGGTTAGTTTGGTCAACCAGGTGGCTGTTGGTCTTAAATATTTGGGCGTTCGTGCTGTTCGATACCTAAATTTATTGAAGCTGTTCTAGTTCAAGGATCACTCATGATTAAACGAAGGTGTCCCTTCAGTTATGTTGTGTCAGGGCACTAGACCATACTTATCAGCACGTAGCTCAGAATTTCCGCACTCTCCGTGTGTCGGACCACAAACAGGGGACCACCTGAAATTCCTTTTTATTCCGGAACTCACACAAATAGGTGGTTGAGGTTTCTTTAGGACAGACGTGGCGACAACCAACATGTATTTCTCGGGCAAGACGATAGACCTGGGCCCCCCCCCAAACCCTACCTATTCATGAAACAATACGCTGCTTCTATTTTGGAAGTTTTTCAGACGGCAACAGGGCAAAGCTTGGTGGGAGCAGCCACGAGTAACAGTTCGCTTAGTTCGTTCATCAGGTTCACTAGAAGTATACAATGAATCGCTACCTTTGAAACATTTTTAAAAGTGCCCTTCGCTTTAGGATCACCTATCAGCTAGGGATCAGTCGCTTAGACGCCGATGAATAAATCCTCCAAGTTGATATCTTGTCACTATGCTCATTGTGCGCCTTGCGAATACCTCGTATCTTTGACCTTGAGTCAACTATCCTGGATGAATCAGAGCACGGTAGCTTGTGTGATGCGTACGGTCCCTCTACCGCTGACTTAACTACCGCTCAGTTTAACTTGAAACGGTCTCAGCCTCTCAGTCTTAGTCCCTGTCCTCGTACATCCTAGCAAATGTCAAGCCAAGGAGTGTCAATTCTTGAACTGCAATGGGCCGGGCGACATGTAAGGGTTCCGGCGCGCACACCTGCGTTTTGAAACTAGGCCAGTAGCAACGGGTAGTTTGGCGTCGATCTATCCGAGTCTGGCTTTTCGTTTGTATGTCGACGGTCATCTGGTTCAGTTCGAAACCGGAAAACGTCTGCTTCGTATGTCTAGACAAAGCCATTTTGCGCGTGTCGCAATACGTACTTTTGTGATGTCGACTTGTTGCGCACCATTCCACAGCTAACGGGTGCTATCGTAATTCAGAGAACCTGCAATGTCGAGTTTACAATAGTTTGGATTCTTATTGGAAATAGCAGTCAACTTCAGTGTCCTGGTTTAACATAGCCGATGTTCTTCACAAAAAGGTTTTCTTTTCTTGTTAGCCCATTCGGCCATCTCACAGGAACACTCACCAGCAGTGTTGTCTGTCCATAGACTCCTCTGAACCCGTACCTGCCTAAGCCGTCTTGGAACTGTACTGTAGACTAGCGTGCAAAACTTCCAGACGTAGTAATTATGTATAGGGCCTACTTTCTGCAGACACAAGTTATGGGAATTCTAGCAGACCTATTTTTGATACCAGGATCAAATAGCGGGTAGACGTAGTTTTTTCGACTTGTGTTACTTGTTGTTACATCCCAATGCCTCCACACGCTGGAATCCGTGTCCGCAGTTTGCCGGGCATCCCACGGAGGTGGAGAATAATCATTGGGGGATCTTCGTGGAAATGCTTGTTTCCACTACGATGATGCATGCTCTGGATGGTTAAATCAGTTTTCGGGACGTCGAAGTAGAGAGTATCACCTGCACGGATGTTATACGAGATCGGACATGACCGGTTTGGTTTTTAGGCTAATCTGTCTACCTGATACATACGCAGACACATTAATTCGATTGAGTTGTACAGAGTAATATGCGTTCGTATGACGTAACTAGTCTGCATGGGTATCGGAATAGATTGTAAAAGCTTCACACCGTTCCTTTATCAAATATAGTGGACTTCTTCGGTTCACCGTTCGAATTTTCGTCCGGTGTCACCGCTGCTTTATCGTTCTGTGCCGATGGTGACCACCGGTCGACTGCTGACACCCTAATTTTTTTCCTTTAAGTTAGCCGGGGTTGATAGGAGTCAGTAACGGTTGACTCTGGAACAGTGTCTCCCACGAATCTTCCACTTTCGTTCCTTCTTCCTCACCTCCTCATTCGCATTTTATCAGTAGCCAGACAGTAGATTCTCTAAGTTCCGCTTGCCAAAGGTATGCTTTTGTGTAACGTACTGTGCACGTGCGTCAAAGATCCTTCTGTCATTGCATTTTGTTTCTCTCAGTGACAAAAACTAACCATTGTTCGATGTCATTTTTATAGCAATGCACCTGGCAGCAGGAGCCATGCATGGGAAGAACGAGTGAACGAATGACTTGACGAATTTCCATCCGTTTCTAACTTTATTACGATTCTTGTGAAATTTTGTTACGGAACGTGTGTATGTGTGTGTGTGTGTCTGCCTATGCGCTTGCTTGTTCCTCCATCTGTCTGTTCTATCACCTGACCAAAGTATCAATAAATCTCATGCTTTTCTGTTGCCACTGCCAATATTAAACTCCATTAGTTCTGCGGAGCGTTTTATGTTTCCCGACCCGTGTGTTTTCTTTGTTCACATGCGGGCCACGTCACAGTGAAAACAAAGGCGCACGCTCTCCTGTGTTTTTTTCCTGATTATTGTATCATCAATTGCCGCAATTGTTTTGTGATGAGCGCCTCTCGATATCGTTTTGCTTTCCGCTGTGGTCCGTGTACTGGTATCCCATTCCTATGCTATCGTTTCGATCTCCGAGGTCATTGTAAACTCTTTTTTCCTTCCAAACACTCCGGAGAGTTACGTTCTGTGCAATTATTGTCTGTGAGACCACCACTTGCCCACTAAACTTATGTTGACTTTCCCAATTGATTCCCTGAATTTCCGCCTTGAGCTGCTGTTTGAAAATGCATTCATTTACCTCCAGCCTATTTGCGTTCCCACCGACAACTGGTACCATTCAGGCTGGTCTCTTAACGGTCTGGGTGCTGGACTGTATACTACGAAAGTGTTTCCAGCAAATCTGGTCTTCGCGAGGAGATCAGATGTCGTGTAACGGTTTCTGAAGTGGCCTACCTCGTTGTATTTTTCTGTTCTCAGTGTAATAGCGGTCCGGCGATGAAGGCATAACACAATGCTCAGCTGCCTAGCTGGTCAGCCGATTGGACCCGCTTTTCGTTTGGTTTTGTCGCCTGGAGTGCTGCACTACAGGTCCATGAGTCCTGACGTAATTTTTCAATCATGGTTGTGGTTGTCACTCACTACTATCGAATCCGATCAATAAAAGTAGTGCTGCACGAGCATTTCTCATGCTCACTGCACCCTGTCGTCAGGGTGCACGCTCGTTGTTCACAAGCGTCCGGCAGCATACCAGAGTGATTGCTAGGTAGATGTCGAAACCCCAAACGATAACTGTGCAAATTTTTAGTACATGTACCGCCGAAGCGAGTACGAGATGGGCGAGATGGTCCAAGTGTTTAGAGCGTGAATTTACTGACCGGAAGGTCCGTGGTTCGAACCCGACCTCTGCCTCTCAACTTCCCTGTCTATGCTTGGGCAACCTGGCAGTATCTCAGCCCTCGTGCAACCTTCGGGTGGCATGGCAGCTAGGCACCGAAAGGGTGCTACAGTTGAACGATGAACTATGCGAATGCAGTACCTGGTCGGATAGTGTTGGTTTCGGTAACCAGACCCCGAATGTCCTTGTTGTATTTGGACCTCGTTTTATAGGTTACCCCGATGTGATCGTTATTGAGCACTGTCTCTTGGTTTCTGTTTGTTGTCCGCTGCTACAGGATAAACTCTCTACATGGTTCTACATTCGACCGCATCACAGTCAAACGACAGGACTAGAAGCCATGTGATCCCGATGAACAGGACCTTAGATTTGTTTGTTATCCCAAAGCTGGGATCAATTTTTTTTACTTTAAGACTGGGAATGCGTACTCAAATTTCTGGAGGTTTGCGTTTGCTTGCTTTCCTTTGGTTACTGAAACGGACCACTGCCTTTGAGTGCACTTCGTGGGATAGATTTCCTAGGATGGAATCCCTACAGAACGCTTTTGAACTCGCCAATCATACGGATGTAGAACACTGTAGAGGCTTTGACCTCCGTTTGTTGTTGACCTGGTGACCGTTGATCAATGAAGACAGTTCGCCACACTTAAGCCAGGTTAGGTTTTGTCCAACTGTGGCTACGTGGTGATCAGCGTCCTATTTTACCCTCAATTGTTCTCAACTTTGTCGTTCATTCTGTGTCACAAGGTGCTTGTGAATACTCATAGAGCGAGAGCGTCTTCACCGAATGATTTCATAGCACACTCGGTTGCAAAGTAGCCTGCAGTCGCGCCACAATCCAGGCCTTGACATGTGATGTGTGCAAGCGTGGTGCGTAACCTGCCGTGGTTCAGTTGGCGCTTGTGAAAACATGCGTGCGTTCAAACTGTGGTTTCCCGTCAAGGTCGTCTTCCATAACGTCAAAAACCTAGTGGGATGTTTGCTATTCAAGATTTGTGCTTTGACATCTGACTTTTATCCCTGGATTAGTTTGACGAAGGCAGTCGAACCGATATGGTTACGGGACGAATTTATTTCGTCCAGTCTTGCCTGCCGCGATATATTAAAGGCGAATAGGATGGAACGGATTAAGAGGAGGGGTAGCAGTACTATCGTTTATTCATAGTTAGAATGTAACGTAGGCAATCAATAAAATCATGAGACCCTGATCTCAGTCCAGTGCCCCTTCGACCAACCAACGATGCTTCGTGGAATTTGTGTACGTGGTTGGCTTTGGGTGGAGAACAAAGTGGAACTATATGGGGCGAGATGTCCCAAAAGGTTAGAGCGCCGATTTACTGACCGGAATGTCCGTGGTTCGAACCCGACCTCTGCCTCTCAACTTCCCCTGTCTAGGCTTGGGAAACCTGATACTACCCCAGCCCTTGTGCAACTTTCGGGTGGCGCGGCAGCTAGCCACCGAAAGGGTGCTATAGCTGAACGGGTTTTTATATGTCTTATCCCGAATAGATGTCAAGCATCGGTGAGAAATCGAATTGTGCATCTTGTTTAATTTCCGCGGTATTGCTATTCACCGTGGAAAACGAGACGGTAGAGCAGGAGTTTTTGAACTTTCTGGAGCGGGGGCATTTTCACACAGTAGATTTATTTGGCTTTAAGTAGATTAAAATATCATAGTTCAGAGTTGTCAGAAATTAATTTTTTAAATTGCATCTTGTTTGAACATGTGAGGTGTTCACGTGTTTGGCATGAGAAGCATTCAAAACACCCTCAGTTTGGGGGCGAGATGGTTAAAGTGGTTAGGGCGCGAATTTATTGACTAGAAGGTTCGTGATTCGAACCCTGCCTCGGCCACTTGACTTCCCCTGTTTAGGCTTGGGCGACCTGGCAGTATCCCAGTCCTCGTGCTTCCTTCGGGTGGCACGGCAGCTAGGCACCGAAAGGGTGCTACAGCTGAAAGAATTGCCGTTGGATGCAGTGTAATTTGCACGGCTGGAGTTCACTTCTGCGAGTGTTGATTGGTATTGTTTCGGGAGTTATCTTTTGCGAGCAACAAGTAACTCGGCTGACAGCCCGATCAAAATCCAGTAGAGTACGGCTAGAGCGATTAATGTAGAAATAAGGCTTTATCCACATTAACATAATTAGTGGGTGTGATTCGGTTTCCAGCGTTCGACTTGACAACTTATTGATATCTGACGCATGATGAGGCGTGGGACAAAGAACCAGGCAATGGAGATGGTGAAATGATCGGTTCTTTCTGGAAATCAGGTAGCTACGCTTTGAAGACGATAGCTTTTCTGTAGGAGTACCAGTGACTGCCTGACTGTACCAGAGTCATTGGTGAGCTGTGTCCCGGGGAACCCATCTGGGGAGGCGATAGTTATCTATCTGACGAAATGTATTGGTTAGTGTTTTCATACTTCACTACCAGCTCACAGACTGTCCGCTTCTCTGTCGCTTCCACTCAGCACACTGAGTGAAAAGAGCCTTGTCAGGCAGATGGTCCACTGGCACACGGAGTACATATCGTAACCCGTGAAGAGAGCTATTCGTCTGTCGTGCGACAGTTCCCTTTCTCTAAAACCCTCTGGCGTGTATTAGCAGTGCGATCCAATGCGTCAGAGACACCGACAACTTTGGTGCTTTCTCTGCGTGTAGGGGTCACGTTTCCGATCCGTTAGGCAGTATTGATCACACTGCTGCCGTGTATACTCCACCCCTGACAGACAACTTGATGTCACGCCGGTGCCACATGTGCCGGAGGTTGGCAATAGCGTTGGTAGGCGAAGCACATCTCTGCGGCTCATGTTATTGAAAACTGGTCTGTGGAGTAAATGTTGGTCCCGGAAGAGTGGCTCGGGAAACTAATGTTTCCTAGTTTGTTGTCAGGTAGCAATTTGAACAACAGCAATCACCTGTCAGTCGGCTCAAAATGCATGTTTGGACGTATCTAGAATTGTTTTAACCATTAAAAAGAAACGGAGAAGTTTAGTTACCGTACAAGTGACGATCTCTCTGTTCTCGTCGACATGCATTATTTTCCTGCAGTTCAAGGGAGCATAAAAATTTAGTCGGGCTTGGCTCGTGGGCATAATCTTTCGCTGAACCTCTTGTCCAAAGATTAGAATGACGCGAATTCCATTCCTTCGAATCCAATGACACTTCTAGTTTGATGGAGATGGAACGGAAGTGGTGCCAGATGGAATGTGTTGCGCTACAACTTACGAGGATATTTTGTTAGTGTGTCTCCTGCCAATCGGGAGACAACCGTTGCTGACTATCATCATCCCGTGTTTGCTGGATGGCTTGTGCTGTCAGGGTGTCGAAATACTCGTAGGTAGGGTGCGTTTACTGGTGGTTGATCACGTGACCATTGTTCGCCGACCTCGGTGAACTCGGCGAGCTTATTGGGGCATAGACAGATACGATGAAAAGGTAGCGATTATCGGCGTGTTCACGGGATGCTCTCACAGACAATGTTAAACGATGTCAACCCCCGAACGACATACCATTCAAACATACACAGCTCGGTAGCGGATGCGTGCCAACTTCTGCAGAGGCGCTCGCTTCTTGATCACCATAAGTACATAATAGGCGCCTAGATAAAACCGACTAATTGTTAGTCGAACAACTGTATCGTTGTATTGAGCGAGTCCAGCGTATGTTGTTCGGGGTCTCTCAGAACGCCAAAAGGTGCCAGAAGAAGTGAGTTTCGGGGTTTGAAGAGTAGTAACCAAGTCTCCACGGTCGTGGCAGCCGAGTTGACTGTAGAATTCACAGCTAAGGGCAATGGGTGGTCTGTCAGCCTGAAGAAATGGCCTACTGAGTTGGTGTTGGCAACGCGGTCAGGAAACAAAGAGGAACAAATATGTGAAAGAAGAATAAAGGACTCATCACTAATGGCTTGTTTTCTTTGATACGCCCTGCTGAATACAGCAAGCAAGGCTATTTGGCTGATGGCACCACGGGAAGACCAATTTGTTATCATGTAAGTTGTAGTTGTCTGTAGGCCGGAATATTATCATAGCCCCAACCTAGACAGAAGTACGACTAGGGTCCTTAAACAAAGCCTTCGACTCAAAAATCTAACCGCAAGGCAGCGATGTAAGAACTGGCTTAAGAGTGCCAGTTTCTTGGTGAAGGAGGCATCAGGAACACTCTAAAAGGTCGGACAGATGGTGGAGCATTTAGATCACGTCATCTTTTGTTAGTTTGCAATTTTTGTCGTTCGTTGTGACGAATTCTGGCTAAGTCGCCACAGTGATCACCTCATTAGCATCTAAAGTCACATGCACCGACTCCACTGCGATCCGATTTCAATAACTCCTATTGCAGATAGGATAATAGTTCCGCCGAATATCTGTGCTTCGCATTACAGCGCAACAGTCTTGTCAAGCACCGACTCAACACACGTGACAGAAAAGGCAATGACACTTTGGTACGTGACTCCGTCACTAAGGTATCAGTTTATACTGGTGTTTGTCTACTAGACCTCAATACAGACTCAGATGTGTCACTCTCCTCGACGGCATTTTCGTAGCCAGTGGCATGCCAAACCTGCGTAACTGCTTGTTTGCTTTGTTTGCTGCGTCATGCAATGGTTGACTACGTGTTCACGTCAATAGTTTCATCAAACATCGTGCTCAGACGCATCGAACCGTGTTTTCAAAGTCAATAACAAGTAGTTTGTACAACTACGGCAGCTTTTTGATGCACGTCGGTGGATCGTTAACCACTATATAATGAAGTATTCCGCGTCTTAGGCACGTAAATATCCATGAGCGGGTACTAAGCGGGTACTAATAGGTCAAGATATTTTACTCGCGGTTTTCGGCAAAATATGTCCCAACGTTACTCGACAACTGACCGCAATACTACTAAATAGGTGCGTGGAGGTAGCACACGCCAAACAGATAAAGTGATCAAAATCCGCGCTAGATTCACTTTATTTTCCACCAGTATCTCTCATCTGCTTTTCCCAGATAGGCAAGTATTCTCCAGTCTGATATATCTGTTCAACTACTAAAAATTAATTCTAATGGCCTCCATTCAGTGATATTTTCTGCAGTGTACCTCTGTTTAGTATGGTTTCTACCAAAGTGACCCAATCGGCGGATAAGAAAGTGAAAATCCTTCAGGTGTAACACCCATTCGGTACCTAGCTGACATGCTGCCTAAAGGAAGCATGAGGGCTGGGATACTGTCAGGTTGCCCAAGCCTAGGCAGGGGAAGTCGAGAGGCAGAGGTCGGATTCAAACCACGAACCTTCCGGTCAGTAAATTCGCGCTCTAATCACTGAGCCAAACACTGCCCAAAATAAAATTGTAAGCGCCTGTTCATCTGAGAGATGCCAGACCTGTCGATTTGTTAACGAGTTTCCATGTCACTAAGCCGGAAAGTGTACAGTGTTCCAGCTTGACATAGTACAAATCCGACTGTCTTCAACTTAATAGAACGTAAATAACAGCTTGGTTTAGACGATATTCTCTACCGTGAGTTGCTGGGAACAATGTCGCGTCAGTGAGTTTGGAATTCCACTGTAAGAACTACAAGATTGAGGTTTCATTTTGGCTACCGTTGTAAGTATTGGTGTGATTAGGAGGCCTTGCTTCTCCGTTAATTTCTCGGAGTTGTTTGTGATGTTTCGACATCCGGTCGAGGACGATGACGACCGTACAATTTTGCACGACTTTTGCTGTTTAGTACATCAGGTGATGATCAGAATAGCAACGGTCGTGTACAATCTCTCTGGCTCACCTAATGTCACGCGCCGCCTGATTTTGTTGTAGTTCCGGTCAACTGTTTGGACGCTTGAAGTTGATTTATTGCATATGTCGGATCAGAACTGAGCACGAAACAAACCGCTCATTGTAGGATTGTCCGCCCAACAAAGCGTTAATTAGCAAGGTCGCCACAGCACCTGGAATACTTGAAACTACAAAAGTACAAGCGTTGGTAATGAAACAGGATTGGAATGGCTGCAGCTAACTGTCCCACGTCTCTCCTACTTTTCCCGAATCAGCGAGTTGTCCTCGAATTATCAGAAAATTCTAAACTGATTTATTCGCCGGTCAACGAAACAAAGAGGCTCAAGAGTACGAATTTTTCACTTTGACCTTCGTGACAAGGTTATTCACGTTATTCAGTGAATATATTGGTCACTCTGGCTTGTTTTTACCGTTTTCTAATCTTTCAAGGGCATTTTGACGGCTGAGTTGGTTTGATGTAAGAAAACAGCTTTCATACTGACCCAATGGGAGATATTTCTGAGGCGCTGGCCGTATCAAACTGTTTTACTTGTCTGTTGGTTGTACAAGGAAACTAGGACATACTTGTGTTATCCGGCAGGGGTTAAGTTTGATTGCTCGTAGTCGCAGGGAAAAAGCGCAAAAACCCAAATACTACTTTCGGATTTCAAACCCCGCCGACACCAGTGTGATTGTTTATCAAGGCGCCAACTTTCCATAGGTTGATTTGTTACTTTCCCGACCTCTGGCTTCAGCGGCCTCGCAAAGCTATATTCGCAAGACTTCAGATCTTGTGTTCTGACGTGCAGTTGCGTCACGAGCCATGCATTCAAGAAGTTAAGCGAGCTCTGGAAAGAAATTGATCACGCAGTCTAATACGTTTTGCACTAAAGCATTATCCGATAGGATCCCTGTCAACCTCATGTTCTACGTGAACCCAGATTGCACGAGATTATCGAGATATACTTGTTTGCAAACAAATTTGGTTTTGCGTAAGACTCACCTGAAACCCAGCTGAATCTCCCGTGATGTATTTAAGCAACGGGATGGGCTGTCGGACACGTGTCTCATTATTTGGGAGAAGAATAACGTATTGATATGGTTGATCCCTGTTGGGGTTGTATGTCTGGTTTCCCTCCGCCCTATTTCCGTGTTGCTCGTATGTTCTACTGCTCAGCACTATGTTCTTCTGTCGCAGCACTGACATACTACGCAAGACCAATCTCGAGTGGCGGTGCGCGCAAGGCCAAGACGTTTTGCTTACATTATCTTACTTTCACTTACGAGTGGCACGTCCAAACGCACATGCTCCTGTCTCTCGGTTTCTATTTGTTGCAACAGCTATTTCGGACGAAAACAGTTATCACTACTGAGAGTAAAATTTTTCAACCTTTATGATCATCACCTGTGTCTCCTATGGAGTGTTACGGAGAAAACTTAATATGTTGGATGGGAACAGCAAGTAGTGTAGCCATTCTGAAGTGGCGGTAAGAGCGTAGATACAAACATAACGTTGCAGTCCGGTGAGTTACAGGTGGACACACTATATGATGAAATCTAACGATTGCCCGAATGTCAGTTCAGTTTCCATCACCGAACGTCTGTCTTTTTCAACCCATAATGATTTTCGATACTTTAGTTGGCACCTACCTGATGAGCCCAAAGAAGGGCGAAACCGGTCGGGGACTGTCAGAGTTCTCAGCAACCCTGTGAGTAGTTTTCTTTATGAAAATAGCTTTAGTTATCTTTTGAAGTGTTTTCTAACAATTTCCTCCCCTTAGGGAGAAACTTGTCATCCGTAATTTGACACTGTCCACTCCACTGTACTCCTGGTTGTCAAGCACGACCAATGGTCATTTCTGCGGTATCCTACGATCTATAATTCACCGGACGTCGAACTGTATGGATATGAAACTCTTCCAACCTGTTGCTCGGTGAGTCGGACAACAACCACGCATTAGCTGCGCACGTTGCTTACTGTACGTAAACGACAAACAAAATTTATCGATTGCACACTAGATTCTCCAAACAGACCTAACCAGAAGCAATGCATGAGAATATACTGAGCTAACGGTAGTTGCGCGGAACTCTGTTGAACCACCTGAGGCTCTGGTTTCTGTGGCTTTTGGAAAGAGATCAGTCAACCTCACAGACAAACACTAGTTAACAGGAAGAAGGAACCCCGAAATTGGGATACTTTACAGGGCTCCTGGTTGGTCACTACAAAATTGCGACCACGTGTGGTCTATTAACTGTGGTCATTATAAGCGGCGAGATGGCTCAAGTGGTTAGAGTGCGAATTTACTGACCAGAAGGTCCGTGGTTCGAACCCAACCCGCTCTGCCTCTCGACTTCCCCTGTATAGGCTTGGGCAACCAGGCAGTGTCCCATCCCTCGTCCCTCTTTCGTGTGGCATGGCAGCTAGGCACCGAAAGGGTGCTACAGCTGATTGACTATAAGCGGCGAGCAAGAATAATCCGCAGGCTACCAACAGGAGTCAAGAACTGACAGTGGAAGCCGCAAAAGAAAACTCAATGTGACAACACCTTTCTCTTTTCGGACCAAAACCTTTTCTAATATATACAGATGACACATATTACTCAGGTGAGCATGCCCCAGGGGCTATATGAAAGAAGTGCATTTCGTTGCAGCCAAAGGGTTTTCTTAGCGCTGATGTGTTCAGAAATGCGACCCTCACATCTGGTTTGCTAGAAAACACAGGGTGACAATAATCCTCGCTTTTTCAGACCAAAAACCTTTTCTAATATATACAGGGGACGCATATTACTCAGGTAAGCATGCCCCAGGGGCTGTAGGAAAAAAGTGAATTTCGTTAGAGCCAAGCAGTTTTCTTAGCGCTGATGTGTGCAGAAATGCGACCCTCACATCTGGTTTGCTTGTCTCAGCCAAGTGTGTTGAAAAACTCGGTTACAACAGAATGGGAGTGAAGGACTTCCGCGTACCGGAGCAAACTCAGGCATTGGTTACCCTCGGTCAGTGGTGTTTAATTGAAGCAGACCAAAGTAGCCGGAAGAATCATGGACGGCCTTGAATAAGTTTTGAAAAATGGCTGTCGCGAATAACGTTCCCGCAGGGCCAATCTGAAAGAAGTTGGGGGGATAAACTCAGCACATTCTGGAAGGTAGAGGAAAAGTTTTTACAATCTATTTAGACTTCATGAAAGCGTTAGCTCGCGTTGACTGAAGGATTTTTGCCTGGTTTATCGTTGGGACCAATTCAAATGATGATAACGTGTTCTGAGTTTCCAGGTACTCATTACCCCCAGCAACTACTTGATCTTCATATTCTTATTTATATTCGACCTGATCTCCATGTCAGCGATCTTCTCTTAGATTCTCACTCTACAAACTCGTCCTCACAGTGTTTATCCCATCTACATCTGCCAACTTTGGTTGGAAAGCAATCAAACAAAAGTTGCTCTGCCCAAAAAGTGAGTGGTCAATCTGGTAACCAAGACAAAGAGGCTGATGGACACTAGTGAAACTCCAAAGCGGACTGATTCGTGCCTATCGAATCCCGATTAGGTGGAATGGTCGTTGCCACAGTATTCCCGCACTTGCGAAGAACAGTCAACTCCGAAATCGTCTCCTGGAACCAGCTCACCAGTTCAGCAGATTGGATTTTTGGAGGCGCGTCAAATTTGCAATGGCTCCTCTTTGAACACCAACCGTCTTAACTAAGTGACTTTACGTTCATTTCAACCATTTACCTCGCCCATTCGTAAGAAGTATTGATCATACTAACAACAGAGCATTAAAGCTTCAGTCCGACAAGATTTTGATGATGCCAAGAAGTGGCGCGGTACCTTGTGAATTTATTCCAAGTAGTTTCGGTCCAATACAGCCTGGGGCATCTGTAAAACGCCACTGATCTGCTGGTAGGTGTGTCCAACTTGCGGAGCTGTCTCAGTTATGTAGCGCCTTTTTATTCCAACAAGGATTCCTCCTTAACTGGAGTGTAAATTGACGAACCTGTGGCTAACAAAGGCGAATAGCCCTGCAATAACGGAATTTCCAACAAGGATTCCCCCTTAACTGGAGTGTAAATTGACGAACCTGTGGCTAGCAAAAGCGAATAGCCCTGCGATAACGGAATCCATGTTCTCGAAGAAATCAGAGAACATATTCACGCAGTTTGCGTTGGTTTTTCAGTTGGAGGGCTTGGCATAAACTAACATCTGTAGGAAACTTAATTTGAAACGGATATTCCGCCTTCTTTTAATCAGAACAAACTGCTGCTAGCGTAATTTTTGAACAGTTGTGTATCCCTCATCTGGAATTTCTAGTTATAGCTAAAAACTGTTTGGAAACTGCATCGGTCTAGAGAGAAGTACAAAAACTCATGAGGTTGCTGAAATTTCATCGACAGCCTAGGACCGGTTTCACCCTCCTTGGGGCTCATCAGGTAGGCGCATTCCCCGAGTTTCCACCAAACTTACGTTCTACTTGAACCCAAATCGCACAAAATTAGCGAAATACACTCAGTTTCGAATAAATTTGGTTTTTCGAAAGACTCACCTTGAATTCAGCTGAATATCAGTTATCTGGAAAGACCACAAACGAGAGTATCAGCTAGGTTCCAGGTAAGTCTCTCAAAAGACCAAATTAGTTTGCAAATGAGTACCTCTCACGAGAAATACAAGACACTTCCTTCTTTCAGATTAAATGTATTACGGTCATCAGAAAACTCACCATTCTGATGCTAGTCCCTTCCTCTAGAGCAGACGGAGTCAGCACTTTCCAGGTAGACGTGCTCCACAGTATCTGAAAGTATGCGAAACTCAGTACCGAAAATTTTGTATGTGCATCGTTCTTAAGTTGGATAAATGTGACAGTGAACATAAGAACAGGCCGCCATGTCACATTTTATTGCCAGAAATTAGGACCAGACTACATGGGATCATTTTAGCACCAGTCATTCCGGCATGCGTTTTGGGTTGGTTGCCCGGTACACACCACATTCTAGCTTATCGTTTTGTCGCAGACTATGCAGGTTTTGTACAATTTCAACCCTTTCGCCTCATCCTAACACGCCTGATGAATGCACGGATGTGTGATCGATAGGTACGGTTTCACGTACGCCTGGTTGGCGGCTACCAGTTGGCACGTTTCCTGTCTGTGGTCTGGTCTAGAAAAGAGTTACCCTTGTTTCACAGTCAGTCTACTGAAAAAAGAGTTTCAGCGTGCAGGTGAGTGGATGAGTTTATTTGCTGTCGTTCGCTCAACATTCGAATGGGCGTCACGATTAAAACTCATCCAAATTTCTGGACCGGTACTTTGACACAGATAAACAGACAGTTTTGAGATACGGAGTAGTCAAGGGACAGAAAAATCCGCAAAAAGCAATCATCAATATTCGTACAAAAGCTAGAAAGAAGTAGACGACGCTTAGCCATTAGAATTATTTGACAATAAAACGAGTTCATTTACTGGCACAAACAATATTGAATAATCTAAATGATTCCGCCTCACGGTTTGGTATGGGCTTCACACCTGCAAAGTGTAAAATGCTACTGCAAGACTGGGTGGGCTCGAACCCTAGCCTCATGCTTGCGGATGAAC